TTGCCTGCATGTATGTCTGTGCACAGGTGTGCCTGGTGCCCTAGGAGACCAGAAGAGGTCTGGACTCCCTGGAACTGGAGTTACAGACTGTTGTAAGTCCGATTGTGGGTGCTGGGAATGGAACTCCAGTCTTCTGCCAGAGTAGCCTGTGTTTTTTATTACTGAACCATGTCTCCAGCCCCAAATGTAACTTTTTAAAGCACTGACAAATGGTTTTCCAAAGTGGTCTTACTGTTTTGGTTTTTTTTTTTTTTTTTCATGCCCAGGGGCAGTCAGAATCTCACTGGGTAGTGGAGCATGCTGAGCAAACCTAACCACCTGAATTCTGTTCCTGGAGCTCTCCTAAGGGGGGAAGAGAGAAACACTCCACAAAGTTGTCCTCTGTGGCACGCAAGCCCTCACTCACCAAGGCTTCATAGGGCTGTCTTGATATTTTGTCATTTTAGTGACTGTGCAGTGACGTTGCCACACTCTGTATGTGTATTTGGCATGTGTTTCTCTCTTTTTTTTTTTAATTGAGTTATTTCATGTTACTGAGGTATAAAGTGAGTTTGATCCAAATTATTGTGTCTTCTGTAAAAGTTTGTACTTGGGATTAGGGTTTGTCACATGGCAGACAACTTCTGAAATTACCTGAAGCCGACCCAAGACCACAAAGATTTTCTCCTGTGATTTCTTGGATGCCATAGTCTTATGTTTTGTTTTGCTTTGGGGTGAGTGGGTGGGTGGGTGGGTTGGTTGGTTGTCTTTGCCTTTCTGGAGATTGAATGCAGGGCCTCTCACAGGCTAACCAAGTGCTCTACGATTGAGCTGCTCCCCAGCCCTTCAACCCCCAGCTTCTTTTCTTTCCTTTATTTTTCTTTTTGGTTCTTTTTTTATTCTTTTTTCTTTTTTCTTTCTTTTTTTTTTTTTTTTTTTTTTTTTTTTTTTTTTAAAACTAGAGGTTTGTTGGAGGCTGACCTGGAACTAGCTTTTGTAGACCAGGCTGGCCTCGAACTCACAGAGATCCCCCTGCCTCTGCCTTCCGAGTGCTGGGATTTCTTTTTTTTTTTTTTTCTTCTATTTCTGGTTTTTGAAGGAGGGTCTTCTAATGATGCCTAGACAGGCCCCCTGCCTCAGCCCCCTTATGCTCTGGGCTTACATAAAGCCATGTTTTAAGGGCTTCCTGTCAGCTCTTGATTGATTGGTATTGCATAAGTTGGGTTCTCCAGAGCTAATGACAACATGGAGTCTCGGTCTGATGGCACTTACTCTCCCCATTGCCTGCATTTATTTTCTTTTCCTTCATTCGGCCTTGTCATTTTTGGTGGCTGCTCTTACACGACTTTCTCAGACATATTCCTAGGTATTTCACAAGTTTGATACTATGAGTAAATAGCATTTTGGATATTACTTTTTAATTGTTCACTATTAGATATAATTGCTCCCTGTGCACGTTTGTGTGTACTAGCATAGCTCTTGGGTTGGCTTTTCAGTTTATATCTTCCCGCTTTACTAAACTCAGTAGTACTTGTAACAGTCTTCTAGCTTCCATGGGATTCTTTCTTTTTTTTTTTTTAAGATTTTATTTCTTTATTATGTATACAACATTCTGCCTTATACCTGCACGCCAGACGAGGGCACCAGATCTCATTACAGATGGTTGTGAGCCACTATGTAGTTGCTGGGAATTGAACTCAGGACCTCTGGAAGAGCAGCCAGTGTTCTTAACCTCTGAGCCATCTCTCCAGCCCCCTCCATGGGATTCTTACAGAGATCCATTTTTACGTATGTGCAGGTTTCTTGTTTGTTTTTGTTTGGATTTTGAGGCAGAGTCTCCTATTACCCAAGCTCTCCTCAAACTTCCCTGAGGGGCTGAGGATGACCTTGAACTTCTAACTCCAGCTCCTAAGTGCTAGAATTAAAGGAAGTGCTACTCTGCCATGCCAATATAGACTAGGAATTATAATCTTTGTCATTATTGATACTATAGAGTACTTAGTACTGTCCCTGCTTCAACCCACCAGGTGTACATTCCCAACTTTTTTTTGAGGGAAGAGGTAGGACAGGGTCTCGCTATATATCTGGTTGTCTGGAACACTCTATGTGGTCCAGGCTGGCCGCAAACTCACACAGAAGCACCTGCCTTGCCCCCATGCCTGGCCTTGCCTGTTGTTTTGAGCTACAGACGTAAGACAATCCTGCCTTTTTCAAATACTGAAAGTGACTTCCTTTTCCGTCTTGGTGGCTCACTTTGCTTCACTAAAGTCTCCATGACAGTGTTGAAGAACACTTGGGCTGGGCAGATGGTACAAACCTGTGATCCCAGCATTCAGAATGAGGCAGGAAGATGCCAGCTCAAGGCAAGTGAATATGAGGCCACCCTGAGCTACATCATGAAACCCTGCCACACACACAGACACACACACACACACACACACACACACACACACAGAGAGAGAGAGAGAGAGAGAGAGAGAGAGAGAGAGAAAGAGAGAGAGAGAGAGGTGGCAAACATTCTTGCTTCATTTTTAGTCTTAAGGAGAAATGAAATATTCATCTTTTTTTGTTTTGTTTTGTTTTGTTTTTCAAGACAGGGTTTCTCTGTGTAGCTTTGAAGCCTATCCTGGCACTCGCTCTGGAAACCAGGCTGGCCTCGAACTCACAGAGATCCGCCAGCCTCTGCCTCCTGCGTGCTGGTATTAAAGGCTTGCGCCACCAATGACCCGAAATATTCATCTTTTACCTTAAGAATACTAGCAGTAAATTTTTATAAATTTCTTTCTCAGGTGGAGAAGTTCCTTTCTGTTACTATTTTCTGAATTTTGAAAATTAGAAATAGGTATTAGATGTTGCCATTTTTTTTTTTTTCTGGATGTATCCAGATGACCTAAGGTCTTCACACTTGGTTTGTCACATTACATTGGTATTTTAAATTGTAACCCAAGCTTGACATTTTAAGGTGACTTTATGGTAATTTTTATTGTCTTTTTTTATAAGTTTTTAAAAATACTGTTGTATGTGTGTACATGCCCAGAGACTGCTTTTTGTGTGACTGCTTTCCTGCATGTGTGCAAGTGCACCACACAGAGACAAGATCCCCTGGAACTGCAGCTAAAGGGTTTGTGAGCCACCATGTGGGTGCTGGGAACTGAACTCAGGATCTGTGCAAGAGCAGCCAGTGCTCTTAACTGCAGAGCCATCTCTCCAGTCTCTTAATGTCTTGTTAGTGTGCTGTTTGATTTACTCAAATTCCCTTCATAATGTTTGCATCATGTCTTAATACTGTGTGTGTTCATAAAGAATGTTGTTTGTAAGGCTTGTGTCAAGGGTTAAAGTAGAAAGCATTCCCTTCTTTTCCTTTTCCTAAAGACTCTCTACAGCATTGTTGTTTTTCTTAAATATTCAGTCAAAATCACCAGTGACACCATCTGAATATGGACATAGCATTTGATAAGAAACAGTTTCTTTATGAACCACACCTGAGGTGAGCTTGGGCTCATCCAGACAAGAGTGATCTAGGGTCTTCTCTAAAAGACACAGGGTCTTGCTATGGAGCCCTAGCTTCCCAGGAGCTTAGAGCTGTCTGCTTCTGCTTGGATTACAGGTGCCCCACCCTCACCATGACTTTTACTTATGGTAGTTCCAAGACTAGTCAGGCTAAGTGACCTCTGACAACCTGTGTCTCTCAGGGAAGTATCCAGTTGGCCTGACGTGGCAGATCTGTGGTTTATGTTGTTCATAGTGCTTCAAAATTATCCCTTAATTTCACTGTACTAAGTCCACAATGATGTCACCACTTCTACCTGAGTTATACTGGCCCTCACTGTCTGTCCATCTGTCTTGTCAGTCTGTCTACAGATTTATTTGTTTTGGCCTCCTCATACTCCCCATTCCATCCTCTCAACCCCATGACACTTTGGACAGTCCTGGGTTGTCTATCTTGTCTGTGACCTGATAACCATGCATAGTAAACTAAAGTCATTTTCTATTCCTCCTTTGTACCTCCTTTTGTTTTTTGTTTATCAAAACAGGGTTTCTCTGTGTAACAGCCCTGGCTGTCCTGGAACTCACTCTGTAGATAAGGCTAGGCTTGAACTACAGAGATCCTCCTGCCTCTGCCTCCCGAGTGCTGGGATTAAAGGTGTGTGCCACAACTGCCTGACTTCTATGTAATCTTTATGTAACTGTCAAACCGATACAGTGCTCAGCTGGGGAAGTTAGTGGGTTCCATTGCTGCCTCTGGAAAGAACACCTTCATTCATAGCTGTGCGCTCTCTCTCTCTCTCTCTCTCTCTCTCTCTCTCTCTCTCTCCTCTCTGATTTTATTGGTTTTTGAAACAAACTTTCATGTAGCTGAGGCAGGCCTTGAATTCACTCTAGAGTCTAGGATGACTTTGAACCCTGGCTGTCCTGCCTCTGTCTCCCAAGCTGGAGATTGCAGGCATACACTGCCAGGCCTCACACCACTTTGCATGTCTCTCTCAAGAGACTTGAGAGTTTTCTTGAATTAGCTTTGTACTAGGAATAACAATACAGAAGGAAGGGGAGAGAGTTGAACTATAACTTTATCATCTCAGCAGAGCTTGCTTTAGACGTCCCTCTAAGTGAGATGCACTGCGAGTGTGTGTTTGTTAAACTTCCTTTCTCTGACAAAACGCCTGACTTTACAAAGCTTCGAGGAGGAAGGGCTTGCTTCTCACACTTTCAGAGGTTGCAGTAAAGCAGGATGGTTCACAGATGACGGCTTGGAAGCAGAGCCACTGTCTGCACTGCAGGCTTTCTCTTCCCCTTCTCATTCTGCTCGGGCAACCCACAAGCAGGGCAGACAAGTCTCACTCCTGTAGTTACCAACATGCTACTCTGCTAGTCCGCCTGGAGCATCTCCGTCCATCAAGTTGACAATCAAGATTAACCTTCACAATGAGACTTAGAGACCAGAGCCACCAGGTGGTAGTTGAGATCTTGATAATTGTAATGCTGTTATATAACACTCACATTCTCGATTTTGTCTGTTGTAGGGTTTCTCTCTCAACTGGTCTATAACAAGCCTCTGACTGAATGCATCCGAGCCGGCCACTATGCAGCAAGTGTCATTATTAGGCGAACTGGCTGTACCTTTCCTGAGAAGCCAGACTTCCACTGATGGAAGAAAGAAAACTCAAGCTGGGAGGTGCAGGCTGCAGTGACCTCGTCCTAAGTGTTCCTGCCATAAGAAAGAATAATTGTACTGCTATTTTTGCCAACCATGATTCTCATTAATTTAGAGGGCTCAGTATTGCTCCTAGAACCTTTAGTCTTTGAAATCTGGGGGGAAAATGTTTATTTCCATAATTTGTTAGTGCCTCTTAAATGTCAAAAAGGAATATAGCATTTCAGTAGAAACTTTTATTTCATTTTCCATTGTTTGTAAATTCATCTGTATTTAGTAAATTAATTGGTTTTTTTACATTTCTGCTTTAAATACAGGTGCAATTTAATATAATAGACTTTTTAAAGAAATTAATGCTAACATCATTCTTGAGCTTTTTATATAAATATATTTAATTTGGAGGTATGTATATGCACACATGTCATATATATACATATATATCTGATAACTGGTCAGATAAGGTACAGAAATGTTTATCACACCAAATTATTCCACATAAGCTCTTCATTGTGCTTCAGACATATGATGGACTTGGAACAACCGATTCCCCCAACATTTGCATCATGTTATTCAAATCATAACCTATGCTTACTGATGGTACTCTGTAATTTGATACAAATAAATTACCATATAGGAATCCTTTCTGTCTTGGCTTATGCTCAATAAAACTAAGGAAGAAATTGTTATTTAGTACTGGGCCTTGTATGATTTTATTGATGGGGTGAGGGAAGGAATGTAGTATATTAAATATAAATATGTGCATATATATATTGTAAGAGATCAGTAAGCATTCTTTTTTGTGTTTTTATTTCTCTTGGTGACATATAGGAGTGGGATTACTAGATCATATGTAAACCTTTTTCTTTTCTTGAGACAGGGACTCACTGTGTAGTTCTATCTGGCCTGGAACTTGATATGTAGACCAGGCCAGTCTCCAAGTCACAGCGATCACCCGTCTCTGCCTCAACACTCCTGGTCATATGTAACCTTTTTTAAGGAGCCATGAAAACTTTCCAGAACAACTGCAGAGTCGCCCATTCCTTCTAGCTGTGGTAACTGTGATCTTAGCACTCGGGAAGTTGAAGCTCAGGGCCAGCCTAGGCTACTTCACAAAAGCCTGTTACCAAAACAAAAAAACTACACTTACAGAAGTGTGTTAGAGTCCCAGCTTTCCACACGCTTACTCCAGCACTCATTCCTGCCTGTCCTCACAGGGTGGCCAGCCTACCCAACGAGCCATGTATAAGGGTGTGCATGTATATTTGGGTGCTTGTAGAGGCCAGAAGTCAGCCCCAGCTATCATTCATGCATCGTCCACCTTGTATTTTGAGGCACGGTTCCTTCTTGGCCTGGAACCTGACTAGCCCAGGCTCTAGGGATCCACCCATCTCTATCTCCCCAGCACTGGGGCCACAAGCACACAGCACTCTGCTTTTTTATGAAAGTCCACATCTGTGCTGCCTCACTGGGGAACCAGCAAATAAACAAGATGAGCCAGAGTTCTGTGTGGTTCCAGGGCTGGGGAAATTGTGGTGGACATTTTTTTTTACGATTTTTTATTTATTATGTATACAATGTTCAGCCTGCATGGATGCCTACAGGCTGGAAGAGGGCACCAGATCTTATTGTAGGCGGTTGTGAGCCACCATGTGGTTGCTGGGAATTGAACTCAGACCCTCGGAAGAGCAGCCAGTGTTCTCAACCTCTGAGCCATCTCTCCAGCCCCTGTGGTAGACATTTTGAGGACCCCAGAACTGTTTTTCCGTAGTGGCTGCACCCCTTAAGATTCCTAATGGCAACACAAGGTTTCCACTCTGCCCACATCCTCACCCTCCAATACTTGTTATCCTACATCTTAACACCCATCACAGTGGCAACGAAGTGGTCCCTCACTGTGGTTTTGACGTGATTTCCCTAATGACTGTTGATTGAGCATCACTTCACGTGCTGTCAGCTCTTTATTCACTCATTCACCTTGATGTGTTTTCAGACGCTTCTCTGATTCAGTAAACGAGTGATTTATCTTACTACTAAGTTGCATTTTCAGTAAGTTCCATATGATGACTAAAACACTTTCTTGTATCATGTGGGCTGTCCTTTCTGTTTCTAGAGGTATTGTGTCCAGCATGAGTTTGCATTTCACTGCAGCCCAGTGTGACTAGAGCTTTCCTTTTTTTCTTTTTTTAAATAAAAATAGCCAGGATCCTCTGTATAGCCTGTCTGTCCTAGAACTCACTCTGTAGACCAGGCTGACCTCAAACTCAGAGTTCCACCTGCCTCTGCCCCCCTAGTACTGGGATTAAATGCATGTGCCATCACTACTTGGCCAAGACAGAATATCTACTTCTGAATTTGATCCTAAGGGTTAAGAGCACTGACTGCTCTTCCAGAGGACTCAGATTCAATACTCAGCAGCCACATGGTAGCTCACACTGTCTGTAACTTCAGGCCCGGGGGATACAATGCCCTCTTCACCTCCATGGACACTGCACATACTTGGTGCACAGACAAAACACCCATACACATTAATTTTTTATTTTTTATTTATTTATTTTTTTGTTTTTTGAAACAGGGTTTCTCTGTGGCTTTGGAGGCTGTCCTGGAGCTAGCTCTTGTAGATAAGGCTGGTCTTGAACTCACAGAGATCCGACTGCCTCTGCCTCCCCAGTGCTGGGATTAAAGGCGTGCACCACCAACGCCCGGCCACATTAAATTTTTTTAAAGGTTTCTTTAAAGAGCAGTTGAGAAATCTAAGTATTTAGCTGTCATTTCTCTTCGGAGCCCCCAGCTTGGTTCACATAGTGATGGACATTATGTACATGTGAGAGGGGGTAGTGCTAGCCCATGGTTTTTAAAACTATCACACCTTTGTCTGTGCTTGCTTCAGAAGCACACACACTGCAGAGAAGGGCAGCACGGTCCCTGTACAAGGATGACACACTAATATGTAAAGGATTCCATATTAATAAATATATATTTATTTGTCAAAATAATATATATATATATATATTTGTCAAATATAAACATATATGTATATTTACCCTTGCTAGGTTACACTGAAATTCTGTGAGGTAGCTCCGATAGCCAAAGGACTTCAAAGCCTCTGTGGCTTTGCCTTGAGGACCTTTCTGTGATCACCAGACCGCTGTCCCCAGTTTCCATGCTGTCTGATCACTACTTCAGGAACATACAGACAAAAGCCAGCTCTCTAAAAGCAAGTGTCATTTAATGTTGTGTCAAAATGCAGCCATCTCAAGTCTTAAATCCACCAGATGGATTTAACTGAGCCCATGCTAGCTCACAGTTTATGTTTGTAAGCTGAAAGCACAATGTCCATGTCAATTTGGGTGTAATGGTGCCTGCAATTTATTTTCTCCAAAAAGACAAGACTGAATCCCACTCTCCTTTAAAAGGAAGGGTGGATGCTGGACTGTCCTGTGTCAAAGATAAAGAAATATGAGCTTTGAAAGGCTCAGTAGTTTCACTTGAGATGCCTGGGCCCTAATCCCTGTAGTCTGTGACATGTAACATAGCTGCAATGTATTGAGGGAGTTAGACCTTAAAATAAGACTTGACTGGACTATCCTAGGGAGCCTTGGTCTAGTCACAAGAGCCTATAAAAGTAGAGCTTTGTCTAGCTGGAAGCATCAGAGGAGGGCAGGAGAAACGAGAGGGACTGAAAGCTGGAGAAGGACCTAAGGTACCACTGATGGTATTAAAGTTGTAGGGGCCACATGACAAGATGGACAGGAAACTTCAACAGCTGAGAGAGGGTCAAGCCAACAGTCAGAAACAAAGGGGAACCACAGCCCTCCAACTGCAAGGGACTGTCTTTGACCTGAACCTCTTAGCAAGCAGAGCCCCACTGAGGACTGGGGGCAGCATTCTGAGATCCCAAGGAGAGTACCCTGCCACCTCCAAAAGATAGAACCCCACAGGGCAAGTATTTGAAAATACTATACAAGTGGCCATCTGCAACCAGTTTAAAAAAAAAAAAAAAAAAAAAAAGCCAACAGGTACTCCCTGGAAAGTAAAGACCAGAGGCCTGCTGTGGTGGCACCCAACTGTGACCCCAGCAAGAGGCTCTCAAGTTCAAGGCTAATTAGGATTACACACCAGACTATGGACTGGGGGGAGGGGACATATCCCTGATCGAGGAAATAAAAACTAGTAAATATAGAGCAGAGAGGGACTATTGATCTGTATCAACATAAATGGGCGGTATGTGAGTGTGTGTTTATGTGTGTGAGTGCATCCGTGCCTGTGGTGTGTGTGTGTGTGTGTGTGTGTGTGTGTGTGTGTGTGTGTGGTGAGTAGGGTGTGTGTCTGTGGGCAGTGCTCCTCAGGATATGGCTAGGTTTCTAGAGTGCTTGCCCAGCAAGCACAAAGCACAAAGCCATGGGTACCACCATTGCCCAACTTTGCTTTGTTTTTGAGACAGGATCTTACTATGTAACCCTGATTGGGCTAGAATTCAATGAAATCAAGCCGGGTGGTGTTGGCTCACACCTTTACTCCCAGAACACAGGAGGCAGAGGCAGGCGGATCTCTGAGTTCCAGGCCAGCCTGGTCTACAAAGCTACACAGAGAAACCCTGTCTCAAAAAAAAAAAAATTAATGTTAAGCTGGGGGTTGGTGGCACACACCTTTAATCCCAGCACTCGGGAGGCAGAGGCAGGCGGATCTCTGAGTTCCAGGCCAGCCTGGTCTACAAAGCTACACAGAGAAACCCTGTCTCAAAAAAAAAAAAATTAATGTTAAGCTGGGGGTTGGTGGCACACACCTTTAATCCCAGCACTCGGGAGGCAGAGGCAGGCGGATCTCTGAGTTCCAGGCCAGCCTGGTCTACAAAGCTACACAGAGAAACCCTGTCTCAAAAAAAAAAAAATTAATGTTAAGCTGGGGGTTGGTGGCACACACCTTTAATCCCAGCACTCGGGAGGCAGAGGCAGGCGGATCTCTGAGTTCCAGGCCAGCCTGGTCTACAAAGCTACACAGAGAAACCCTGTCTCAAAAAAAAAAAATTAATGTTAATGAATATAGGTATTTTGCCTGCATTTTTGTGTATGTTCCATGTGTGCCTTTGGTGCCTACAGAGGTCAGACGAGGGCAAGGAATGGGAACTGGAGTTTCAGATAGTTGAGGCATCAGGTAGGTGCTGGGAATCAAACTCTGGTCCTTTGCAAGAGTAGCAAATATTCTAAACTGCCCATCAGTGTCTCCAGTCTCCCACCCTCAGCAACAGAATGCTGTATAACTCACAGTCCATGGATAGGACAGAATACCATCATTAGAAAAACTACATTCCACCTCAGTAAATACCAAAAGGCTTAACTGCTGGAACTCTCCATTCTGACCTAAATTCAAACCCACCTCTCCCCAGTTGTGTGCCCTGGGACACACATTCTGTCTGACCCCTTACTTGGCAAGTGCTGTCCAAACCTCCGAGATTCAGAAAGGCTTTTTTCTGGAATGCCGTAACCGATGTGTCCCGCTGACTTCAGTTGATTATGATGGATACTCAGTCCAGCTGGCAGAGATGCTCAATGGCCAGGTCAGTTAGTCAATATCTTGGGTTTTGTTTGGTTTTTTTGTTTTCGAGACAGGGACTCTCTATATAGTCCTGGCTGTCCTAGAACTCACTCACTATGTAGACCAAACTCAGAAATCCACCCGACTCTGCCTCCCAAAGGCTGGGATTAAAAGTGTGCACCACCACAGCCAGCAACAAGTGCTGCAGAATATTTGTTTACACTGCAAAGATGAGTCTTTGCGAAGTCACCTTCTGATTGGTTTAATAAAAAAGCTGAATGGCCAATAGTTAGGTGGAATTTCTGGGAACAGAGGACTTTGGAAGGAATAGGGCAGAGATGCAAGGAGCAAGCAGGATGTGCAAGAGGAGAGGTAACAGCCAAGAGCCATGTGGCAGAACGCAGATTAATGGAAATGGTTTGATTTAAGTTTTGATTTAAGAGCTAATTAGAAACAATCCAAAGGTGTAGGCCAAGCTTTCATAATTAATAATAAGTTTCCATTCACTATTTATGAGCTGGCACCCTATGAAAAAGTTTGGTACAAATAAGCATCTTGGGAAAAATAGAATTTGAATATGGTAAGTAATCTGGTTAAGAAAGTGGTATTTAGCCAGGTGTTGGTGGTGCACTCCTTTAATCAGCACTCAGGAGGCAGAGGCAGGCAGATCTCTGTGAATTCGAAACCAGCCTGGTCTCCAGAGCGAATGCCAGGATAAGCTCCAAAGCCACACAGAGAAACCCTGTCTCGAAAAACCAAAAAAAAAAAAAAAAGAAAGAAAGAAAGAAAAGGAAAGAAAGTGGTATTTATGGGCTGGTATTTATGGGCTGATGGCTCAGAGGATAAGAGCACTACAATTTAATCTGGTACCCTCTTCTGGCACGTAGGCAGAACACTGTATATGTGATAAATAAATAAATCTTTTTAAAAAAAGAAAGAAAGTGGTATTTAGATCAAAGAAAGGATGTAACCATAAAGCAAGAAGGCTTTCGATTTCTGCGGTTTATTAATGTCCCTAGGAGGGATGCCTAAAAAGAGTATTGAAAGTAATGTGTGTGGCGCGTGTGTGCATGTGGAGGCCAGAGTCAACATCAGGTGTCTTCTATTGCTTTCCACTTTTTCTTATTTTTAAAGTTATGGGTACAGTTATGTGCACCCATGCTTATATGGGCACCACATGTGTGCTGGTGCTTGCAGAGGACAGAATTGGGTATCAGATCTCCTGGGACTGGATGTATGGATGTTTGTGAACCACCACTGGGAGCTGGGAATCAAACCTGGATCCTCTGGAAGAGCAGCCAGTGCTCTTAACTGCTGATGTAGAAAACAAAACGGGCCAGGCGCCACTACACATACCAATAAGCCCAACACCGGGTCAGGGGTGCAGAGAGGAGAGTGTTGGGGCTTTCTGCCACCAGCATAGATCCAGTGAGAGGCCCTGCCTCAAGTGTATACAATGGAGAATGATAGAGCAGGCCACTGCCCTCCTCTGGCCTCAGCACACAGACACTCACACACATAGAAGAGGCTGTTAGGGGTGCAGCTCAAAAGCCCCACTGCCCACCGAGGCCAAATAAATGTCAGTACAGAGAAACCCTGTGATCTGGTCGGTTATTCCTAATGCCAAGCACAGCTCTGTAGTGGAGGTTTAGACAGCATGCTAACTGCTGGTAAGTAACTGCTTCAACAGGACCAGGCCAAATGAATAAACACAATCCTCCACGTGCACAAAACGCAAGAGCTGTGTACAACTGAGACACTGAGAGTTTACTGTGGGCAGCACAGTCAGGGGGCTTTCCCTCCTGAGTGTGAAAGTCGTCTAAAACAGTGTTCACAGCTCTGCAGTGCCAGACAATTGTGCCATTGAAAGAGAAGGCTGTGAGTGCTGCTGATTCCCAGGGATTATTTTGTGCATCTTAGAAGCGAGGTGCTTTGTCCAGCTCTCCTTTATGTTAGTGAATACCTTTTCTTCTGGAAGCCCTTGCTCCTGCCTCAGCCTCTTGCCTCTTTGCCCTATCAGCAACCAGGAAGACAAGAAGCTGGCCACAGAGGGCCCCATCCCACTGCCAGGAGGGTATGTCCTCTTCTAGAAGGTGCTATTTGTTCCCAAGACCCTCACACACAGTAAACTCAGGATAATTGAGGCTACAGTTTCTCTGGAAAGCAATAAATCCATCCCAAATGCCACTCCACGGATGAAACTTGGCTCGTTTGGTAGTGTTTGCCTAGCCCCCACAAAGCCCCTTTTCAATTCAACCTTCAGCACTGCTCAAGGATGGCATGAGGTATATGCCTGGCATTGCATTCCTCACAGGGGGAAGTAGAAGCAGAGGCTCAGAGATTCTAAATTACCCTTGGGTGCATAGTGAGTTCAAAGCCAACCTAAGAGGCATGCGACCTTCCCTCAAGGAAAGAGGGTTTGGAAAGAGATGGTG